ATCATAGCCTTTCCTCAAATAACAAAATCTAAGGAGAGGCTGAATAGGTTGCCTATGGTCACAACCCTATACTAATCCCTATTACAGAGATGACAATCTTGAGACCTACTGTGGTTAAGTGACTTGCCTAAGGTTTCAGAGCCAATAAGTGATAGAACCAGGATTTGAACCCCAGACTATCTGCCTTCAGATAACTATCTGAAAAATAGAGCTTTTTAAACACCAAATCTAAAAATACATCTAGAAACTTTAGAAAGTTTAAATATATCTTTAAATTTGTGTCAAAATACATACCCTGTGCTGTCTGACTGAGGGAAATCATTTTGCTCTCGTAACGACCTCTTCATTTAATTCTTACAGTGTTGCTTAAAAAAAAATTCTCTATGTATATATTATCCAAGAGTTTTATGAAAAAAAAAGTTCAGAACTACTTATATTTACAAGCAGTATTACCTTTTGGGATATAATTTCTAGAAGTTTACCATCTGTTATGGAAAGGAATTGAGAACTTTCAAAATGTTGCTTAGAATATGGCAATTTAAGTATATCTGTGAGTGTAGGACAATTATCAGCATTGGCTTTCTCAACTACCCTGAAATCTCAGTTTCCTGGCCTCAGCAACCCAACCAGGGGTGGAAATGGGGTACTGATGACTCAAAAGCATCGTGGCCATTACCTGTGCACTAACACCACCCCACAGCTCCTGCAACCCACCTTCTTCCTCAGGAACTTCTGAGCATCCCCGTATAGGGTCCCCATAGATACACAGGGCTTCCCTGATAGCTCAGCTGGTAAAGAATCTGCCTGCAATGCAGGAGACCCTGGTTTGATACCTGGGACAGGAAGGTCCCCTGGAGAAGGGATAGGCCACCCACTCCAGCATTCTTGGGTTTCCCTGTGGCTCAGCTGGTAAAGAATCTGCCTGAAGTGAGGGAGACCTGGATTCAGTCCCTGGGTTGGGAAGATCCCCTGAAGAAGTGAAAGGCTACGCACTCCAGTATTCTTGCCTGGAGAATGCCATGGACAGAGAAGCCTGGCGGGCTACAGTCCATGGGGTTGCAAAGAATCAGCTATGACTGAGTGATGCTTTACCAATGCCTATAACAGTAAAGCACTTGATCAATGTAAACTTTTATTACAAAACACTGACACACACACTTTTTAAACAGAAGTGATATTATAGACTTGTCTCTATGTGCATCTAATCTTGAATTATCAGGTGACTTATTCCTGGCTTGTGTGTATATATATATGTACCTCGGAGTCGGTAAACAAATGTGTATACATATAACATCTGTGAGTCATATTCCCTTCCCAGTGCCTATGGTCTTCATTTTGAAACATCAATTATTTCACAGCTTCATGGGTGCACGTGGAAGTATGTCTGAGCATTCTTCGACCTTCTTGGTCAATAATGACCTAGTTTTATCCTGAGTAGCTCTATTTCCCTGCATTGATGTGTGAACATCTGTGAGTCTTCTCAAGGAAATGAGATCATAGTAACATCTGGAGATTGCAATGAGATGATTGCTCTGAACTAAATCTCTTTGGTCCTTTACTGTTCCCATCACCTACATTCATTACTGTGGCTCACCTCTGGCAGAAAGAGGAATGGCTCTCCTGTTTAACTCTCCAGAGGCAGGAGGGAAAAAAATAGGAATATCTAGTAGTTACTGAAAACTCCCCACTTGGAAGTACTTTATTGCAGATTCCTTACTCCCCTGCAGAGTCTGAGCCTTTATCCCCACCATCACTAATTGATACATGAAGAGACTGGCAGAGTGAACACTCTGACGATGAATACACGGTAGGGCCAAGACTGCAGTTCTGATGCCCTATGTTCAGTTCTAGATTTTGCCATTTAAGAAAAATAAACTTTGATTTTCATGATAATTTTAGATTTCCAGTGGATTTACAGAGATAGTATGAGCCTACTGTTTTTCACCATTGCATTTTACTGCCTCCTGAGACTTAAGATTTTACTAAACCATGTCAACTTTATCACCAGCTCAGCAAGCTTCTTTTTAAATTGAATTGGTTGATTATTTTTGGCTGTGCTGGGCCTTTGTTGCGCAGGCTTTCCTCTAGTTGCGGTGAGCGGGCGCTCCTCTTCCTCACGGTGTGCAGGCTTCTCACTGCAGAGGCTTCTCTCGTTGCTGGGCACAGGCTCTAGGGCGTGCGGGCTTCAGTAACTGTGGCACGTGGCTCAGTAGTTGGGGCTCCTGGGCTCTGGAGCACAGGCTCAGTAATTGTGGCCCAGGGCTCAGTTGCTCCGTGGCATTTGGGGTCTTCCCGGATCAGGGATCGAACCCGTGTCTCCTGCATCGTCAGGCTGATTCTTCACCACTGAGCCGTCCGGGAAGCTGTCACCTAACTTCTTACCTGTAGCTCTGATCTCAATTAGAGGCTCTGATTAACTACATCTGAGGCCCCGTTTGGAGAAAACAATGCAAGGTTTATTCTTCTAGTTCAACAAATTGTGATTGAGTGCTTTCTATATTCCTTGCATGGAGTTAAGGACCAGATGGTGAGCCATGCAGTCCTGCTGATTGTCCTTTGGGGAAATAGATGTTGTGTACACACACACACACACACACACACACACACACACACACAGAGCTAAGTGTAAGTCTGCAGGGAGCAAATGCTGAGAGCATCCACACACACACACAGAGCTAAGTGTAAGTCTGCAGGGAGCAAACGCTGAGAGCATCTGACAGTGGAGGCTGACCTGGTCTGTGAGTCACCATGCAGGGAAAAACAGGTAGGAATCATTTCCCTTATGAGGCGATATTTGAGCTGATGCTTTGAAGGGCAGGGCTTCCGTGGGAGGGGAGGACTGTACAGGCAGACAGGACATCTCTACACAGACTCCGGTGTCTGCCATCAACTTTCTTTTAATGAAAGAAAGGCTCAGAAAGGTGAAAAATATTGCATTTCTTAGAATGCCTGTGCAGGTTCTTTTAATTCTACAATCTTTTCTTTAGGTTTTACCCTCTTTGTGATTTTACCCCTTGGCCCACTCTCTCCTCCCCAGAATTAACCACCCTGTCCTACATCTGAGCCCTGGACATACTCCTATAACCTCACAATATTTTAATTATTTTCCTGGAAGTATCCATCTCCTCTACTCTAGTGGTTCCTCCCTGAGGAACAGATCTTATTTCTCTTCACATCTACAAATAATGTGTGCATGGCATTTATTGAGCACTTACTATGCATCAGCACTTTGATAAATCTTTTCATGTAATATTTTATGTATTCCTTGGGGCAAACCAGGGAAATTGGATTATTTACACCCTGTCACTCATTTAGCAAACATTTCTTCTGCATCACCCACTGTGCAACCCTATGGGACTCTCCAGGCAAAAATCCTGGGGTGGATTGCCATGCCCTCCTCCAAGTACTGAGGTGTGGCCATATGACAATTCTAACCAATAGAATTGAGTAGAAGTATTCTGGGCCACTTGCAGGCCTGGGCCATAAAACTCTGTGATCTTTCATTGGATGGAGGTGCCTCTTAAAGGTGGCAGCTCACTATCATGCTGACCCCTAGTGACAGCATGGAGCTGAGCCTCCTCCTTTCCCAGCTAGAGACACCCGAGTCTAGAACCACTCAGTCCTGCATTAGCAAGAAACAAGTGGAAACTGTGTTTGAGTCATTTTATGTTTTTTGCGTCAATTTGTGCCATCAGCTAGAGTTGCTCCAAGTAGTACAGTTCTATTATTCTTCTTCTTTTATAGCTGTTCTCCCATTTATTAAGCCTTGACCAAGGTTTGTACTGTCTCATCTAAATCCTGGCTGATGGGTGGTCAGGAGCAATCCATGATGTCCACCTAGGTTCCTTCTGTCCTGGGTTCTGCCATCTCCTAGAGTGATGCTTTTGGCACTGTCAAGCCTGGTTCATGACTGCTGTCTGTAGATAGGGATGCCCAGTTTTTTATTTGTTTCATTCTCACTTCCACTCATACACTGTTGTCCAATGTGGAGTCACATGGCCACAAAAGGCCCAAAAGGAGGCTGGGGAATGTATTCTCATCTGTATGTCCATGGGTCCAGCTGACACGCAGGGACTTCTGTCTTTAAAAGGAAGAAAGGGAAGATGGCTCCAGGGGACAGTTTCCTGTCTTTCACACATATGATCACTCAGAACTTGCAGCCAAGACTAAATTAAGTCACTTATAGCCCCAAATAAGCAATTCATAAAAATATCTTTTCCCTCTTTTTAAGTATAAGAAATTGTATTTAATTTAGAGGTGTAATATTAATAGCTAGCAGTTATTGAGAGCTTGAGGCTTCCCAGGTGACTCCGTGGTAAAGAATCCCCCTACTGATGCAGGAGACCTGGGTTTGATCCCTGAGTTGGGAGGATTCCCAGGAGAAGGAAATGGCAGCTCACTCCAGTATTTTTGCCTGGGAAATCCCATGGACGGAGGAGCCTGGTGTGCTACAGTCTACGGGGTTGCAGAGAGTCAGACACGACTGAGCACGCACACCACCGCTGAGAGCACCTTATGTGTAAGAATCTGGGTTGAGTGTTGTGTGTGTGTTAGCTCACTGAAGTCTCATAGCACTGTTTCAGATAAAGTGTTATTTCAATTAACATTTTATAGGTGAGGAAACTGAAGCTTATGGAGGTTAAATGATTTGCCTAAGGTCTAAAAGTTAGGAAGAGCCAGACTCCACCACTGCATCCATGCGACGGGGATAAGAATCATCACTCCCTCAGGGTAAATGTGAAATATGTATCTGGAAGAGAACACAAAACAGCTTACTTACATATTTTTTTTTTTTTGTAATTTAAATGTAAAAGTCTGCATTTAAAAAAAAATCTAAAACTAAAATTTGCCCAATTTTAATATATGGCAGTTAAGTCCTCTAATTTTTTTTTCTAAGTAAGAGTGCTTGTAAAATAAATCAAATATACAGAGAATCAATACTTGTAGTCTCTCCTCATCCCTCTCATGACTCCCTGCACGCATAACACTCATTTCTGCAGAGCAGGGTTTGGCAGACTATGACACGCAGGCTGCCTCCAGCAGCCCCATTGCCCTGTCCATTTCTGTAAGTAAATTTTATTGGGACCCAGACACCACCTTTGCTTCATATTGTCTATGGCTCCTTTTGTGCTGCAAGGTCAGAGTTGAATAGTTTTGCCGAGACTGTGTGGCCACAGAAATAGAAATACTCGTTATCTGTCCCTGTACATAAAAAGTTTGTCAAGCCCTGCCCTAGAGCTGATCAACGTTTGCATTTTGTCATCTATTATTTCAGGCTCTCTTTCATGTTGAGTATGTGTGCATATGTGTCCAATTGTACAAATACATCTCTCTACACATAAACACACAGATATGTATGCATGTATTGTTCAGTCCCTCAGTCGTGTCCGACTCTGGAGCCCGCCAGGCTCCTCTGTCCACGGAATTTCCCAGGTGAGAATACTAGAGTGGGTTGCCATTTCCCTCTCCAGGGAATCTTCCCGACCCAGGGATCGAACCCACGTCTTCTGCACTGGCAGTCAGATTCTTATCCAGCTGAGCTACCAGGGAAGCCCATGCATATATATGTACACACATATGCCCAGGCATACACACACACACGCACACATATATTTTATCTTAAAGGAGTCATACTATGTATATTGTTATACATAATATATCTTGGTAATTTTTCCATATCAGTGCCTATAAGATTCCTCTGTTATTTTGAGGAAAGCATATGGAATCATGGTATAGATGTACAATAATTTATTTGATCATCGCCCAGTCTACTGATGAAGATAAAACTTATTTTCAATTTCTGTCAGCCATCTTGAAGGACTCCCCAGAATGTCTTTGTAAACCCATTTGTGGCCGCCATTTGCTTAATTTGTAATCTGTTAAGTTACATGTTTGTAACTTTGTAGCAGGAGGCTAACTTCATTCCATGTTAAGAATTTGTAACTTTGTAGCAGGAGGCTAACTTCATTCCATGTTAAGAATTTGTAACTTTGTAGCAGGAGGCTAACTTCATTCCATGTTAAGAATTTCTAACTCACAGTAAACAGGATCAAAAATACATTCTGCATTTCAGATCTTAATTATGCACTTAATTAAAATTCCCATTGTCAGTAAAAGGTAAGGACTATATTAGATTGCGGTTGTTGGCATCCTGATTAATATACATATAAGCTTTAAAATCTGTTGTTACATTATGGTAGATTTTCCAGAAAGAAACATGAAGCTTTAAACTGCATTTTAAAAAAGACAGAAGGGGATATGAACTCAGTGGAAGAAATCCAGCGTATTCCAGAGCAGATGATAGCTATATATAACGGAAAGGGAGCCAGAACTCACACCTTAATTTGCGTGTTGTTTAAAGCAGGCAGGTTCTTCTCTTTCTGAGAATTAGAACTGGTGCAAAACCAGGGGATGAAAAAATGCCAGGTATCAGATTCCAGGATAAAACTTGCATGCAAATTTCTATTTTACAAAACCAAATAGCCAAGTGTCACCAACCTGAAGGTGAGGTTTCGGGGGGCTTGGCTTCTCCCCAAATCTCCCTTCCCTTGCAGGTCACATTTTCCAACATGAGAACCTTACTTTCCATGTTTTTTTGACCCTACAATATTTCCCTTTGTTCTGAGACTTATCCGTGGGCTTGATGTGAATTTTCCACTTTGTTTGGTGCGTTTCCATTTATAAGCTGTGTTTTTCTCACCTTCTCTGCTTCACGCTCAGTTTATTTCCCCTAAAGATCAAGAAAATGACTGTGAAAAGTTTGTTTCACGTTTGAGGTGGCCTCAGTTCTTCCGCTTCTGTTCCCTGGAAGCCACCCTCCACCCGCAGCTCCTGATTTTCGGGGTTTTTTTCCTATTTCAGTTTTCGGCCACAGTGACTCTTTAAACCTTTGTCTTTTTTGACGGCTAGTGTTGTCTTTGCTCTTTTAATTTGTTGTCTTCCTTTGCTCCTTTGTTCTTTGCTTTTGTTCTCTCTGACCTATTGCTTCTCTGTGATTGTTCTTATACCTTGAATAATTTTGAGGTGCATAGTAAACACCTCAGACAGTGAGTGCCTGTTTTCTCCTGATATCTCCCTTTCTTTCTTAGGAACTGGAACCTCAAAGATTCCAGGCATGTGTCACCGAGAATAACATGACATAGCCCTGGATTTAGTGGGACTGAGTGTGACCATCTGACTGATTTCTGGCCAAAGGGATGTGAGTCTAAGTATAAGTCCTCTTTGCCACTATTTGGGGACATTTTTGCCCAGAGAGGCCATTGGCTGCTTGCTTGCTGGAATGTGGTTATGGGGTTGGTGATAGAGAGGTTCCTTTGGACCTGGGCATGGAAGCTGTGTCTTGACCTTGGTAGACCTGATAACCAGAGACACAGGTTAACATGAGCATCTCAATAAGGTCAGGAGATAAAAGCTAACACCACCAAAGACCAGAAAATATTGCCAGATACTAGTGGGTAGATATGATTATATGCTCAAATTTCTTAGTCCTTGAAGTTTGCCCAGGGGAGAAGGAAGGAGTGCGTGTATGTGTGTGTGTGTGTGTGTCTGTGCATGCAGAATCCTAAATTGATTGTGGATAACCCCAAGAGATGGCAGTTATCTGAACGTGATTACATTTTCTGCTATTAGGTATATTGGGGGTTTGAGAAACAAATGAAATTTAAGTTATGTAATTTAAGAAAACTGTATTTCTTTATACTCAAATTTGTGTTCTGTGAAAATTTTGTCCACTGTGGGATCCTGGGCTCAAGTGGGCAACTGGGGATCACTACTGAGTTTTAAGCAGGGCTGTGACACTGTCAGATTTGTGTTTTCTCCCAAAGTCTTTTTTCTAAGAGGTTGTGGCCACGTGATGGTCACGGATCACTTTCATCCCCTCGTGGAAATGTTCAACTGTCCTACATATGTCACTACATTTTTGCAGAGTCAGATGGTCTTTCCTGAAATATTTTCTATTGTCATCATTTGTGATCTCCACTATATCCCTGTCTTTATATATTTTCTTCAAAATAGGCTCCCAGTCCATTTCTGGAGAGAGTGTTTAGAGTCTCTGGGTCAATTTAAGAACTGCAACTGACTTAGTCACTCAACTGACAAGCAAAAGCAAAAAAAAAAAGAGCATGTCTTTCATTTGAGAAATAAAATATTAAATATATTACTTTTGCATCCATCTTCTTTCACTTTTACTTGTTCATAAAGTGGTAGTACAGTGCTATTAAAGAATTTTTTTAAATAGAGGGAAAAAAAGCATTCACAATGACCTAACTCTGGGTTTTTGTTGATGGGAACAAAAACTGACCTGAAACAAGCTGAGGTGGAGAAAACACATATGGGCTCCAGTCATGGGAAAACCCAGGAGTAGGGCTGGTTTCAGATAAGGCTGGATCTGGAGATCCCACGAATGTCCACCAGCATTTGTCCATGTCCCAGTTCTGTTTTCCAGTGTGTGGGCATTGTTCTTGAGCAGGACAACCCTTGGAACCGCAAGATGACCATGGGCAGCTCCAGGAGTGGGCACCGTGATTTCAGCAAACTCAGCCCTGGAGGATCTTCTTGTTCTTGATATTAAAGAAGAAAAAAATCCTAGGCAGTGATTCTCACTGGTTCCCTTGAATGAATCACCATGGGCAAGGCAATGAAGTGATGTGTGGGGGCCAGGTCTGGGGCAGGTACCCTGTTTTTTATTTATCCTTTTGCATGTGCTTCTGTTCTTAGCACAACAGGATATTCACATTCTGTGTCTGAGGAAATCTCTAGAACCCTTCTCCATCTCATGACCAGTTCTGACTTCTTGTGAATGATTGACTTTTCAGATTCCTCAATGGTTCCTCTTAGCTTTCAGGCTAAAACCCTCATTCCTTAAATGATATATTCGTATCTGCCTTACTTTGGATTTGGGGGTGGGCTAACTCAAGGGACTACATGGATTAAAGATGATGGAAAGGTAGTTCTCTCTCCCTTAAATCAGAGTGTTGTACCCAGAAGGATAAATACATGTTGAGTAGGGAAAATCAATAGAGGGCCGTCAAACTTAAATTGCATTCTCCAAGCACAAGGACTGCTTCCATTTTCTGTTTCTTTTCTCTATTTTCATAAACAGTGCACATTTATTTAGTTATAATTTTAATGTAGGATAGACTGGGCCTTAGCAAACTGTAGCCCCAGAGCCAAATTTGGCCATCATTGGCTGTTGTTTTCAATAAAGTTTTATTGGCACAGAACCATGCCCATTCACTCACACATTGTCTAGAGTTATTTTGATGCTACAGCAGCACAGTTAGTAATTGTGACAGAGACTACATGGTCCTTGAAATCTAAAACATTCACTATTTGGCCCATTACAGACAGACTTTGCCATCCTTGGTATATACTGGAATTGGAATTCTGCTTTTTTTTTTACTTAACAGTTTCTTGTGAATAATTTCACGTTTTCAGAGTCTTCATAACTGTTATAAATTTTGGCTACAGAAATACTTCCGTTGGGTTGAATGATTCTCCTTTACTCATATGCCCCCAGGTAGAGAGCAATACTAAAGGTTTCCTGTAGGAATCTACTCTTTTCATGCAGGTGAATAAAATGTGGAGGTCTTTTAGGCGCTTTCTCCATGGTCCTCTAAGTTTAACTCTGTTGAAGCTCATGTCAAACTGTAATTATGTTTTCCTTATTATAAAATATATGAAGTGTAGAGACAATGATTCCTTAAGCATCTTATTCTTAATATCCAGCCCAATGAAAGGTACTCAGTTGAGGATGTTGTTTACTACCTGTGGGTTAACAAGGTTCTATTGCTGGTAGTGCAAATCAAGTCATCTGCGGCCTTATGCAGAGCCTTCTGTGGTCGGTTCTTCCATCGCTCTGAAGACAAGAGAAAACAATGCCTGACATGAGGTGTAGGTCGTGTGTGGTCTGGCTTCAACTCTCTTTACACCTGGCCCTCTGCGCTCTGGCCGCGCTGGCCTGGCTCCCGCGCCTCCAGCGTCCCCGTGCTTGGTCCCGCCTCCGGGCCTTTGCACATGCTGTCCTGAGATTATTTCCTGAGACAGACGATGTGTGATTCTTCCTGGTCCATAATAGGAAGAGAGTGACTCAGTGGTGAAGAATCCCTCTGCCAGTGCAGAAGATTCGAGGGACTCAGGTTCCATCCCTGGGTTGAGAAGATCCCCTGGAGAAGGGCATGGCACCACACACCAGTATTCTTGCCTGAAAAATCGCATGAACAAAGGAGCCTGGCTGGCCACAGTCCATGGGGTTGCAAGAGTTGGACACAACTGAGCATGTGTGTGCGCGTGTGTGCACACACATACACACACACACCCTCTCTACAGATTTCATCTACAAATCATTATACAAAGGATTTCACTCACCAAACATTTATGTATTACCATGTGCCAGGGACTGTTTTAGAGACTAAGACATCAGTAAATGAGACAGGTGCAGTTCTTTATTTTAATTTAAAGAAAATTTTTATTTTATATTGGAGTGTAGTTAATTAGCAATGTTGTGTTAGCCTCAGGTGTACAGCAAAGTGATTCTGTTATGCATGTACATGTGTCTACTCTTTCTTAAAAAAATCTTTTTACTTTATATTGGAGTATAGCCAGTTAACAATGTTGTGATAGTTTCAGGTGGATAGCAAAGGGACCCAGGCATACATAACACGTGTTATCCATTCTCCCCCAAGCTCCCCTCCCCTCCAGGCTGCCACATAACACTGAGCAGAGTTCTCTGTGCTGAACAGTAGATCCTTGTTGGTTATCCATTTTAAATATAGCAGTGTGTCCATGTCCCTCCCAAACTCCTTAACTATCCCTTCCTGCAGGAGATAGGTGCAGATCTGACCTCATCAAGCTTCTATTCAGTGAAGGCATCAGAGAAGTCCATCAGTTATAACACAGAGTGACAGGTGGAGGTGCAGGAGAAGAGACAATGTGGGAGCAGAGGCGAGGCCACCTCTCCAGGTTGCGGAGCTCAGAGAAGACTCAAGGGGTATGCTATCAAAGATGCCCCAAGATGGATGCAGATTTGGCAGGTAAAGGGAGGGAAGTATGCCCTCGGTTGAAGCAGCAGCATTTGCCAGCCCCAGAGGAGGGATTCTGAGAGGATTTCTGGGTTTGTTGGAGAGCCCAGCGGTGGCGGGATGCCCGTGGAGGACCAGGCCAGGTCCCCTGTCCTTGCTTTCAGATGGGAGGAGGTGGGCTGGCCTCTGGGCATTCTCTGTGTTTCACATCCCACTGCGGTTTCCCCTGACTCTTCCAGTCCTTCCTGCTTTCACAGCCATCCCATTGTTAGGGTACAGGCCAGGACTAGTGTTTGAATTAATATCAAGCTTATTTCCCGCATACAATGACTTAGGTTAAGGGTTGGCTGATTTTTTTCTGTAAATAGCCAGAGAGTAAATATTTAAACTTTGCATCCTATTCCCATCTCTGCTACAAATACTAGCGTGGAGCCCTAGGCTGTATGTAAATAAGTGGGTGTGGCTGTGTTCCATTAAAATTTTTTTAGAAGCAGGTTTGGCCAAAGGGTGTAGTTTGCTGACCTCTGACTTAGATGATCAACAACATCTTTATCTATGTATTGACTTACTATTTGGGAAAAAGAAAAAGAAACCATTTATCAGTGTTTTTCAAAAATGGTGCTTTGTAGTCCCCTGGTGTTTAATGGAATCCTATAAGAGTCTGTGGAGGTGATGAAATGATGAGCCCAGGAGAGGGAGGCCTGACCTCAGGCCTGACATTTGAGAGCCGTGAAATCCAATCTTCTTTACATGTGTGTACATATAAATGCCCAAATGTGGTGGTAAACAAATAGTGGATTTTTTTTTTCCATAGGAAAATTGCATTTGTGTGAATGACTTTTTATTATTTCTGCTAAGGGTGAGGTCTCAAAGGAGTTGTCGTCTAGTCTGAAGAAGTAGGAAGATCCGAATTTATTTAGTCTGGGCATTACTTCTGGTTGGTTTCAAGAGAAATTGATGGCTCTTGTAATGATTCAGTTTGCTTTTTAGTCAAACCAACTTGTGTAAGTTTTTGGGTGAGGGTCAAACTCTTGTTTCCTTTTCCCATGAAAAATATTATTTGAATGGCCTTCTAACTGGAGCTTCTATGATGTTCTGTCTAGTAGCACTTCTTCCCCATTTGTGCTGGGATTAGGGATAATGTTTCTCTCTCCTTGTGGCTGCCTGCCACTCATTTCAGTCTCCGCTTCATGGACTCCTCCCTGACTCCACACTCTGATTTTGTGGCATGCTCTTATTATCCTTTCACTATTCCTTGAGAGCGCCTAGCACTGCTGGTCATGTTCCAGCGGGAAGCGGACGAGGGGTGGTTCGTTCCCTGTAAGCTCCCCCACTAGGGAGGAAGCCCCACATGGGCAGTGACCATGTCTGTTTGGTTGGCCATCGAACTCTTATTGCGGATTCAGGCAGTGCTCTGTAAGGATCCGCCAAATGAATTAGCAATTGTGTCTTTTCACTGGCATGGAATTCTAGAGAAATTTGTAGGGCACAAAAGACTTAGAGGAAGAGTTCCGCTGCGATGGCAATTAGGAACAGCCTGTTACCCATAACAGACTACTGACAAAGAGTGACTCAAAACCTGAGGCCTTGTCGGTTTACTGGGGAAGATGGTGTACTACTGGACCCCTCCCCACCACCACCCCGCACCTCAACACACACCCACACAGTGTTCTCGTGGAGGTCACTGGCTTGCCACTCAGAGGAGGAGTCTGCCTCAGGGCAGTCTCGGCGGGGGCCCTGCATGGCCAGCACTGAATTGGCTTCCTTCCCTTCCCTGTTTCCCCTGCCCCCGCCTACTGGTACTTCCTGGGGTCCCATTCCGTGCAAATTGTTATTTAGTCACTAAGTCGCGTCTGACTCTCTGTGAGCCCGCGGACTGTGTGGCCCACCAGGCTCCTCTGTCCATGGGATTTCCCAGGCGAGAAGACTGGAGTGGGTTCCATGGGATTTCCCAGGCGAGAAGACTGGAGTGGGTCATCATTCCCTTCTCCAGGGGATCTTCCTGACCCAGGGATCAAACCCACACCTCCTCATTGGCAGGTGCATCCTTTACCACCGAGCCAGCTGGGAAGGCCGCTCCGTGTAACGCTTTGCACCCACATGCTGCTCTCAGCCTCTGCTTCTGGAAGAACCTGACATAAAAGTATTTTTAACTAAGAGCCCAGAGGTGGGCAGTGCTGGGGCTGGTTCACTCGGCAAGGCCGTCAGCAACCAGACGGTTCCATCCTTCTCTTCCCTCTGCAGCAGTGGCTTTGTACCTTCCGGCATGTTCCATGAGGAAGACAAGATGGCCACTGCCGCTTCAGATAGTGTGCTTGCACCTGAGGATCTAAAGCCGGAAGTGCTGGGGTGGGGGCAGGAGCGGAGGAGCAGCAGGTGAAGGCATCTTTCCTCAGGCGCTCCTCTGGAAACAAGGAAAACCTGTTTCCCAGAAGGCACCTCTGTGTGTCTCATTGGTCAGGGTTGGTCACGTGATCAGCACTTGCCGCAAAGGAGGCTGGGAAGGTGATTCATTGGTCTTTTCGGCCTCTGGGGTGGGAGGTGGGTCAGGCTGTTGGGAACGGGCATACAGAGCCACAATGTTCCCTGTATCCGGTGCATCTTCCCCCTTTAAAATATTTTGTAGCGGTGAGACCCCTAATCTATTTGTCAGTGCAAGGCGGGAATACATAACCAAATGTGCCTCTGGAAAGGAATTTTAATCTGCTCATGGCTGAAAACTTAAAATTTTACAGCAAAAGTTTGAATTCTCTGTAAACGACAGAGATGAAAAGGTCGGCATTTAAATCCGTTTCCTTAACAGATGGCTCCCACAGTGAGCCGAGATCGGAATTCACTTTCTGGGCTCAGCCACTCTCCATAAAGCTGGTCGTGCGGTTTATGACATCAGCAGAGCCCCAGAGTGAATTACAGCTTATCCTTGTATTCACCGTGGTGCCATCTATTATGCTACTGTGTGTAATGTTGATTAGGAAGGTGTCTTTGATAGCTCAGTGGAGGAAAAAGCGCTCATGTTAGAGGCCTGAATTACAATAATGGTTAAAGACAAAGGTACATAAAGAGAGGGTTGGACATTAACAGCCTTTTGCATTTTTGTATGTCTGTATGTGAAAAGGAAGAATAAGATTACATCACGTCATTAAAAATAGAAGCACTCCACGTTTATGAACAAAGACTTCCCTGTCCCTCCCCGCAAACAATTCCTAGTTGAGATCTATGTATCTCCTTAATAAAGTCCTGCTATTTACCTAATGCTGGGTGAAACACACACACTTAAAGCCCATAATTTTCGAGTCTTGAAAAAAGAGCTCTCTATCACTCTTGGCCCTGAAAGTCAAGGTGATAGATCGAAGGTCACTACTACAAAACAGAAGGTCACAGTGTATCTTCTCCACTGGGATCTACTGGGTTGGCATCACTTGAAGCTGCCATTGGTTGTAGCTGGGACATTTTTTGAGTAATAAAATTCTAGAAATGGTATTTGTGTTAACATTGTTTGGCCAGGAAGAGTTAAGATGCAAATAATTGTTGTAAAGACAAGCCTCTTCCATTAAACTCTACATAGTGCTTCTCAAATTTTGGGGTACCAGATGCTTAGACCTTTTGTCAGTTTGCTGAATCAGTCTTGGAAGGTGGGGCAGAGACACCTGTATTTTTAATAAGTTCCTCAGGGAATTCTGATGCATCATACAGAAGTGCTGTGTTTCTGCCAAGGAGCTTTTTTTAAAAAGTCTTCATCATATCCTAGATGCATTTGCCAGCTGCTGCGCTCAGCCTTAGGGGTTAGACCTACCCAGCGTGGTATCCACTGGCCACATGAGGTTATTTCAGTTTTAATTTACATTAATTAGAATGAAATAAAATAAAAATTTAGTTCCTCAGCTGCATTAGCCACCAAGTGTTCAACAGCTATGAGTGACTTAGTAGATAACATACTGGACTGCAAAGGTCTAGAACATTTTCATCATTTCAGAAAATTCTATTGGACAATGCTGGACTAGACAATAAACAAAACAGATACAATTTCTGCCCTAATGGAGAAAACAGATCAGTCTCCCTTGCCCTAATAAACTGACAAATCAAAAACTACAAATTCTATTTTATGAAGGAAACCAAGAGCTGTGAGCAGGACTGGTTATATGATTTGTGGGGCCCAGTGAAAAGTGAAAATGCAGGGCCTCTTGTTAAAAACATTAAGAATGCCAAACAGCTATAGCAGAGCCTGAAACCAAATACCGGGCCTCTGAGCAGAAGCTGTCCACCCAGCAGGGCTGCAATATACCCAAACCAAGGAAGTGGGGCTAAGGTGGTCACAAATGCTCCTCCAGGAAAGTGACCATATGAGGTGGAAAAGAGGAGAAAGAGCTAGAAATGCAAAACACACAGGAAAGGAGGTTTTGGGCAAAGGGAACAGCCTACACAAAGGCCCCCCGAGATGGGAAAGATGGAATATTCCAGAACCGGGAAACGTTCCAGAGTGGTCAAGGGAGGGAAGAAGAGCAGGGGTCAAGGTGGAAAAGCCAGCCGTGGTTGTTCCGTGGCAGCGGGGTGCTGTGCAGTTCACCCCCAAGCTCACTGGCATGGTTCAGCCCACCGCCCCACTTCTGGTTTCCTCCGCGAGCCCGTAAGCATCCCTAACTAGTCAGGGATCCTGATCAGGCAGGATGAAATTCTATTTTTTACTTTGAAGACACGAGGGGAGAGAGAGAGAGAGAGAGAGGCACAGGAAATTATTTGCTTTGATTCACAATCTGGTGCGGTAGCAGGTTAAGGAAATGGGTGAGATCGCGGTGGGTTGTGAGCACAAACCGGCTTTCAGAGCCTCCCTCTGGGGGGCAGCGCTGGGCGGAAGATTCGTGACTCTCCCATGTGTTGGAGAGAAGCGTCGCCTTGCACACACGCTACTTCCCGAAAAGGTGTTTCATCAACAGAAATGCTGATTCTCTGGCTCCCTGATGCTATATTTAGAAGTGACATTTACATTTCCACAAATCAACAGCCCTGTTTGGATACAGTTCCAAGAGTTTCGCTGTGACAGGGAATATGCTGGCTTTTATTTTTCCCTGTTCCCCTTTCTTAGCTGTTGGGAGTTAGCAAAATTAGGAGACACCTGTAATTTGGTAGATAAAAATAGTCCAATATGACAAATCTGTAAATTTTTAAAGAGGTCACAGTGTAGCATCCTGACTTTCAAAAGCGCTTTGGGGAAAATTTGTCCGGCACTGTAGTTTGTCTCATTCATTTGAAAATACCTTTATAGACTCTAGATAAAACCTCCTCAAAAGCTTTTCCATGTTTTTTTGGGGGGGAGGGGAGGGGAGTGGACACTAATTTTGAATCTGAGTTTCTGATACCGTAGATGGCTTACATATTGATAGGTTGAATTCAGAGGGAAACTTTTTTTTATTCATCAGTAAAACATAATTTTACTGAGGCTTTATGTCTGTGGTGTGCTGTGTATGTGCATATTACTTTGCGTCTGATGGCATTTAAATGTTTAAGGTATTATTTTTTGACATGTTTCCTTCTTGGCAAAATAGTTCTCATAGCTATTGATAAAAAAGGATCCAATATCTTACTTGTCAAGAGGGTGGGAAAAATTGGAAAAGTAAAGATAACCATGGAAGTCCATTAATCTATGGGATTACTGATCTGTCTTTGGTAGTGACATCCTTCAGTCTTCTGGAACCTGATCAAGGGACCCATAAAATTATGAGCTTGGGCTACCATCAGAGGGCAGTGTGCGTTCTCTTCAAGAGCCCGTAAAAACCACACGTTTCTCTGCTGTGGCTAAAAGGACATATCTGGCAAAGGGCAAACCCATTAGGCATAAACAATCAGCATTTTTTGCTGTTGCCTGTCATAATGAAAACAATGATTTGAAAGTTCTGATTAAACCTGCAAGATTTCCTATCTAGTAAAATATGTCTTTAAGCGTATGCTTTTCAAAGTTATTATTATTATTTTTAATTTCCAAGGGTTCTAAACAAACAAGAGTTAGACCTGGACAACTTTTTTAGGACTTTGGTATTTAATAGAAAAAGCTCACTTTAATCTCAGCGTCACAGCCCTCATTGGAACACAGATGGTCAGTAAATTTTAGGTCTTTATCAAAACAATACCCAAAGTTAAACATTTTCTTAAAAAAGGAAAAAACAAGTTATGATTAGTTCTACAATGTGCTAGAAAATTCTCATCCACCAATATCTAATGCATGTATGAGGAATTAGTGAATAACTTCTTCAGTCGTGGTTTTTCTGAGAGGCATAAAAAAGCAAACCGTACATATGAGCGTTGGAGACAAGTAAACAGAGGCCAGAGAACACATTTGCACAAATCTGAGTATTTGCATTTAAAATATGACCTGCTGTGACTTCGTTGACAATCAGAATTTGATTCATCTGTGGGCATAAAGTCTTTGTGTTGGAGGGTGGACCTGGAATTGGGAAAATTAACGACTGTGTCAGCGCAGGAGCCAGCGTCAGCTCGCGGTTCAGGTGTGAGACTATAGGAAAGGGTCCGGTAGACTCGTCCTTCAAACACTTGAGCAAATAAATTGTTTGCTTTACAACTTTAGGAGCAGCTGCCAGGGGCAGCGTTGTCTTCCTGCTGACTGCGGCAGACTGAGCACTTCTGCTGGGGTTTCTCTAGAGGGCAGTAAGGATTCGAGGCTCTTTCCCTATTTTTCTGAAATGCCTGATCCTCATGCTGCGGCTGCCACGGTCAGGGAACTCAGCGCATGCTCTGGGGCTGCAGCGAGCTGCCAAACGCTCCGGGAAGGAGCCGCCGCCGCCTCTTATGTCCTCCAAGATGAGATTTTGTGAATATTTCCCCCTTTTCAAAAAGAAAATCTGGGTTTATTAATAGAGTGTAACCATCAATACAACATACCGTGCTGCCCCTAGTTGCTCAGTCATGGCAGACTCTGTGACCCCATGGACTGTAGCCCGCCAGGCTCCTCTGTCCATGGGATTCTCCAGGCAAGAATGCTACAGGGGGTTGCCATGGCCTCCTCAAGGGGATCTTCCTAACCCAGGGATCGAACCCTGGTCTCCTGCATTGCAGGCAGATTGTTTACTGTCTGAACCACCAGGGAAGCCCAAGAATGCTGGAATGGGTAGCCTATCCCTTCTCTAGGGGATCTTCACCACCCAGTAGTCAAACTGTGGTTTCCTGAATTGCAGGTGGATTCTTTACCAGCTGAGCTAACAGGGGAGCCCCAATACTATACACACACACACACACACACATATATACACACATATATGTATTTATGTGTATATATATATATATGAATGGTTGATAAAAGATTTGAAAATTAAGATTAAATGCCTCCTGGGATGGTGCCTTGATGGCTGGGTAAAACAGGAATGATTAATC